ACAGTGCAGTACGAAGAGAGAGAACGCTAACCTTGCTGGAGGCGACTTCTGGCGTGGAGGACAGGAAGGCGGGTGGGGAGGCGGTTATTGTTTGGAGGGAGAGTCCTCCTCGCCTACAGGAAGCCACGACCATGTGTCACAGCAGGGAAGATGGCCGCGGGTCATGTTTGTCACCCAATGCGGAGTTCGCGAACGGAAGCAAAATTTTGCGAACAGTGCTGTTTGTGAACCAAATTGTTCGTGAACAGAAGCATTCGTGAACCGAGGTATTACTGTATTATGGTTGGTCGCATAGTCAGCCAGATGTTTAGACTGGATTTGGCATTTTTATCCACCTACGAACAGTGCTGTTTGTGAACCAAATTGTTCGTGAACAGAAGCATTCGTGAACCGAGGTATTACTGTATTATGGTTGGTCGCATAGTCAGCCAGATGTTTAGACTGGATTTGGCATTTTTATCCACCTACAGAGTCCTTCCCAAGGACTTGGTATAAGCAGATGTTGTTGTTTGATGTGTTAAAAGTATTGTTGCAGGATATAAATTGTTCCAAGTAAAGCTGCTTTTTGCACTTTTGACTGATAGTGATTTTGTCAATGCTGATGGTCTTCAAGTGGTGCTCCAGATGTTTTGGGGTTGCACCTAAGGCACGTATAACTATTGGTACTATCACTGCTTTCTTTTGCCATAGTTGTTCTACTTCTATTTGCAAGTCTTTATATCTCATGATTTTCTCCAGTTCTTTCTCTTCTATTCTGCTGTCTCCAGGCATTGCAATGTCCACTATCCAGACTTTTTTGTCTCTCTTTTCAACAATTGTTAAGTGTGGGGTGTTGTGTGACAGGTGTTTGTCTGTTTGAATTCTAAAGTCCCAGAGTACTGATGGTGATGATGATGATGATGATGATGATGATTAAAAATTGGCAACATAAGTCCCCAGACATACTTTTAAATTTTTTAAATTCTTTCGGGCAAGAGGGCAAATTGTACCTCAAACTTCTACATGACATCAGTCAGGAGTATCCCAAAGGGAGAAAGAGCTGCCATTTGGGAATATACTTCCTGTACTCACGGCTGTTTGTTACAGTATAAAGAAAAAGATTAAAGAGGTGAACAATCTAAATTTATGGGACTAAATTGAAAAGCACCATCAATCCTGGTTCTCTATAAACCAAGAAAAGGGCAACACTTGTATAGGGCAAGCCCCAGGCATTTTTTCACAGCTCCTAGATAACAGGCCATCCGGAAATCTCAGTGCTGTAGACTAGATTGAAAAGTTGAAAATATTGGAGGTCCAAATTCAGTGGCACTGACTATTGAGCATGTCAGATCAACTGACCACAAGAGGGCAGTAGGGTGCCTGTAGTTAAAGGTTAACTTGGTGTCCCCTCCTGCCTTTCACTCTGCCTGTTTGTCTAACATACAGCTAATCTGAGGTCGCTGTCTTCTGCCCTTCTTCCCAGGCACACATACACTGACTACATGCTCTTGGACTCTCCTGGTAGTATGTGGCTAACCTGGGTGCTGGGCTTTGCCTATCGCTATCATGTTTTCCTGTAAGTTAATCTCCCTTCTGTTATTGTTATAAAGACTGCTTCACTAATCATTGCTTAAGTCAGACTTCTACTGACATGCAGATACAGGATGCTTCAACCTGCCCCCCTCCTCCCCACCCCCCACCCAAAAACCAAATCTGGACTAGGAAATGGCAAATCACTTGCATATTGTTACCAAGAAAATTACTAGGATATGTCCATGAAGTCCACCGGGGTCACATTTGACTTGAAGGAGACTTTTCTTTAAGAACCTCCCATCATACCCATTTATTCAAAGAATATCAATTCCATATTTGTACAGAATCTATTATATATTTAGGAATGTCTATACTAAAAGATACAACTCAGTAACATGTAATATAAATAAAATATATAGAGATGTCTGTTCAGATATCAATAGATGGGAGTCATTAAACTTCACCCTTTGGGGAAAGATGAGTGCTCTCAAAATGAATATTATTCCCAGATGCATTTATATTCTGAGAGGAATTCCAGTTTTTATATCTGGAAAATATTTTCAGAAATTAAATTCTTAGTTTTAAAAAATTCTGTGGGGTTCTTCAATTCCAAGAATAACTTTACAGAAAATGCAATTATCAATTAATAAGGGAGGACTCAGTTTTCCACATCTGGAGCATCTATATCATCATGCTTACCTATTGTCAAGTATTAAATACTGGAAGCCCACAAGTGGTGTTAATTTTCCGATTTGGGCAACATTGGAATATAAATATATAACACCTTGGGTCAGATAGACAGTATTAGGATCAAAATACACTAAAACACCATAGCTAGAAAGCTATGGAATCTTATGTGTAATAAAAAAAATGATTTGACCCTTTTTCCTATACCAAATTGACTTTTTGGGGAACCCCAACTTTAAAAAGTGGGAAAAAGATGGCAATATGGAAAAATTGAATGGAAGCAGGGATATTGACTTTGGGCCAAGTAATAGATGATGAAGATGAATTTTTAATGTATGCTGTGTTAAGAGATAAATATCTATCAGATGTAACCCAATGGCAATATTTACAGTTACAACATTTGTTAACAACATTCTTTGGACCAGCAGCATTTGTAGCTTCTGAGAAACCTGAGACATTAGAACTTGTTAAATCCTTTAAAACTAAAAAACCTACTATTAGTTTGTATAGATATTTGTTATAAGTAAATCAGTTTGATATGCAGATGCTAAGGGATTAGTGGGAATAAAGAATTAGAGGTTTCTATATTGCCTAGACAATGGGAGAGTCTCAACTTCTATACCAAGAGTGTCAATGAACCTTAAACTACGACTTATACAACAAAAAATAATATTTAGAATTTA